AGGGGCAGTGGCATTGACAATTGGCATTGCACTAGGTTACCTCTACTTCATAGTCTTCAACTATGCATATCAGGTAAATCAGACATCTGTTGAATATTGCTTACAAGTACCAAACTTTTTATTGACTTTTTCTTTTTTAGAACTGTGACAAATTAGTCGATGCTATCTATACATCGGAACTATGGCTAGAATCTTGCTATGATGTCCTTATGGCTTGTTTCTCTGCCTTGTCCCTTATTTACATACTTCAGCGAAGATATTATGGAGCTATAAACTCAAATCTTGACAAGGTTTGGTATTCTTTGCCTTCAATTCTGCTGTTTTTCTTTTCTAATAACACTACGTACTCGTTGTATTACATCTTATTAAGTAATAGACAATACTCTAAGAGTATTTTGCACCGTATTCTGAGCATGACAAAAAAAAAGCCTGCAACAACTCGGTTCTTCTTCAGAGTGCATTTACGATTCCACTAACTGTCAAAAAAATATAAATTGAACATATATAATAATAATTTAGTCATTCACCACTTCTATCTATTGCTAATACTTGAAAATCTTACATTCTTACTACTTAGAACAATATCTCAGATTGGACGCCTATTCATCAATATTACATTTTCCGTGGTTTGGATCAAAGTGGTTGTCTACAAAGGGTACCTTAGTCATCAGGTTAGTTATGCAGAAATTAAATATCTATTTCCCATAATACTCTTTTACAATGGTTAGTCTCAGAGTGCTTGATTGTGACGCAGTGACAATCTTATTTGCTAATGCATATGTTGATTTCGGGATCGATTTTATTAGGCGTTAACCCTTGCCGAGGCCATTTTGGTGATACTAAAAACTCATAAATGTTATCAGGAATTGTGCCAGAGAAAGGAGCTGGAGGGCTACTGGTGTCCGGTTATGAGAAGAAACTATGAATGTTCGCCTAGTGATGATTTGCATGGAACTCAAAAAATGTGGTGGGGTTATGTAGAAAGCGATGAAGTACATACACACTGTAGTAACGACTTTTAAAGGTACTATATCAATAAAGGAATACTTTCGAGCTCTATCATTTCTTGTG